ACCTGCGCCCGGAGCGCGAGCCCCCGGGTTCCCAGTCACTCAGGACGGTTTGCACGTTTCGCTTGTCATCCTCCCTGCTGGCCGGCGCCTGTTTCAGCTTGCCGCGGTTTTACAGTAATTAAGTGAATATTGGTTCCTTTAAGGAATATTCACCTTCTAGCAATAATTTGTACCCGCTGTGTGTGAGGTGCTGCTGAAGGGCCTGTGGACATTCAGTGTGGAAAGCGGGTATGACAACTGGGAGGGTGGGAGCCCTGACTGTCCACCCCCGGGTGGAGCCCTTCCCTTTGCCCGGGGCTGTGCTCATCAGTGAGAGAAACTTGGAGAACATTTTTTCTCCTTTACTTACCTGGAGCTACCGCGTTCCAGTTTCCAAAACACGACAGTTATATAAACAAACTGCTTTCAAAATGTTTTAGCCCCAAAACAAAATGACATTTTGATTTCATCTTTTACACTTTACCTCACCAAAGGCATGGACAGCTAACACACGTATCACATAGAAAAGAATTGCAATGGCAATGCCCGTGGCATGGTTTTCTTGTGCATTAGCTGTGCCGCTCTTATCTAACTCGTAAAGAATATTAATGGTAGAGCATGACATAGTAAGATGTAGGTACGGATAATTAGAATCTGGGGGGGGGGGAATAAAACTACAGAAAACCTACAAAGGCAGGAGCTATAATCACTAAAATTTTACGTGGGCAAAAATTTTGGGGGGCAATATTTATATAAAAAGAACTATCCCAATGGAAACAATTATATTAAAATGTAAATGGAAAAGGCATTCTATGTAGTAATTGGTCAAGAATTAAATTGGCCTGCCCTGCGAGAGTGGCTCAGTGGGTTGATCATTGCCCTATGCACCCAAAGGTTGCCAGTTTGATTCCCAGTCTGGGCACATACGGAAGGCAACTGATGTTCCTCACATCAATGTTTCTCTCTCCCTTCCTCTCTCTAAGCATGTCCTTGGGTGAGGATTTTTTAAAATACTAATAATAAACTCATAAAAAATTTATTTCTCTCTCACTAGTGGTTCAAGACCAATATGGAAGCCTGATGTGTTGGGCTCCCAAACTATATATACCATTTCTGAGATGCTGCCCTCATCTGCTTCGTCAAAGTGCTCACACCCACTTCCATATTCTTACCTATAGGAAGACCGGAAGATAAAAGGAGGGCGTGCTTTTCTCCATTTACAGGCGTGACTCAAAAATTGCAGACACTATTCTTCGATGACTCCCCACACTCACCCCTAAGCAAGGTCTGGCCTGCCTGCCTCTCCAGCCCCTCATCTTGAGTTGCTCCAGCACCTGCACCCAGCACAGCAGCCACCTCATCTGAGCTGTGACTTTCAGGACTCTGCCTGGCGGGCTCTTTCCACCCTCACCCCCTTCACCCAGATTCTGCACTAATGTTTTTCCTCCACAAAACTCTCCCTGGTGTCTCCACTTCTCAGTCACACCCCCTCTGCCAGTCCATTACTATGTCGAGTATTATGTCTATCATATCATGCATTTTCATAGCTCTGAAATCAGAGGGCGTCTGCAATGGGAAGTGACAACTGATCTTGGCCTCTAGTGAAAACAAGTCCTCCCGGAGAGCATTTATTTTTGCGGTTCCCAGGCAGTACTGTGTGGTTGGCAGCTCTAAGACGAGCCTCAATGGTCCCTGCCTCTTGGTATTCATGTCCTGTGTATCTCCTCCCCTTGAAACATTGATGAGGGGAGCATCCATTGGCTGCCTCCTGCACCTCCCCACTTCCTGGGGATAGAGCCTGCAACCCCCGGCGGGGGGGGGGGGGGGGGGGGCGTGTGCCCTGACCTGGAATCCAACCTGCGACCTCTTGGTTCCTGGGTCGATGCTCAACCACTGAGCCATACTGGCTGGGCCCGAATTTTTTTTTTAAAGAGTGTAATTTATCCATGCTTTTCTTTTTTGGCTTTTGGGTGATATGTCCTGCCTAGGGTAGTCATTTGAAGAAAACCCCTAGGTTAAGAGCTAATTAAAAAGGAAAAGTGGCAAGCTTCACCCCACTTCTGCAAGAGAAACAACAATGAACATTGAGAAAGACTTACTCAATTTTTCACTGGATCCATAGCTTAGGAGAGGGAGAGCCTATAGCTTTACTGCTCACTGAGTGTCTTTATTTGAATTTCTGGCAAACACATCAAATTCAACAGAATAAAACCCAGACAACCTTTTCCCTCAAATTAGGACTTTCCTATTTCTGACAGTCTCATGAATCTAAACTCAGAGGTCATCTCTGTGTCCTCCCTTCGTCCCTCCCGTACCTAACCAGAAATTGACATTCCTTACTCTTCATGTTCTCATTATTCCAGATCACCTCCCTGTCACAGACCCTCACCCCTCAAATCTGAATTGTCACGATAGCATCTCCACTTGTCTCTGCGTGCTACTTGCCAATATCCTCATCCTGCAGGAAAGTTCTCAGGGATTCCCCCCACCATTATCGCCTTAAACTGTTTGTATATATATAGTGTCACTTAAAAATATGTGTAAACATAAAACTGGACATTAACTTATTATCCTCAGAGCCCTATCTGACTCTAAAACCAAAACAAACTTACAAACCAAATACAAACAAAAGCGTAAAACCAATAAAATTCATGTTACCATTTAGTGCCAGATGCTGTTCTGTTGACTGTTCTGCTGATCCTGTTGCCATGGCACTGACGGCCTTCTGGAATTCCGTGTGCCTGCAGTGTTATGGGGCCTGATGGCCAATTTTCTACTCTTCTCTTAGAACTGCTATGAAACCTTGGTTAATATAGTCAGTCACCAGGAAATTTGGCCTTCACTTTAACATAGATGCATCATGTATATATTAATTCCTCCTCTACTCTTTTCTCCTCAGCTTATGACCAAGGAACTTGGTTCCATAAATATAGACGCAGATATGGGCAATGAATCCAAGACATCATAGGGGAATACACAACTATAAATGGACATCTAGATAAGTCTGAGCTTTCTTAGATTAAAATTTTAAATATTCATAGCAGCATTATTCACAATAGAAAAAAAGGTAAGAAGCAATCCAAGTGCCCATCAGCAGGTGAGTGGATAAACAAATTGTGGTGTATACATACAAATGGAATATTATTCAGGCTTAAAAAGAAAGGAAATTCTTGGCACATGTATAAACCTGGAGAATATTATTCTAAGTGACATAAGGACAAAAGGAAAATACTATGATTCCACTTATGTGAATTACTTAGATCAGTCAAATTCATAGAGACAGAAAATAGATTGGTAGTTACCAAGGGCTGGGGTGGGGTTGGGGGTGAGGAGTTAGTGTTAATGGATATAGAGTTATAGTCTTACAAGATGAAAAGTGTTGTGTGGGTAGATGTGGTAATGTACCATGTGAAGGTACTTAACATTATTGAATTGTACACTTTAAAAATGGTCAAGATGCTGTGGTACATTTACATAATGGAATACTATGCAGCAATAAAAAAGAAAGAACTCTTACCATTTGCAATAGCATGGATGGATCTGGAGAGTATTATGCTAAGCGAAATAAGTCAGTCAGAGAAAGATAAGTATCACATGATTTCACTCATATGTGGAACCTAATGAACCAAATAAACTGATCAACAAAAACAGACCCAGAGACATAGAAGCATGAACAGACTGTTGAACCTCAGAGGGAAGGCAGGTGAGGATGGGTGGAAAGAGATCAACCAATGTACTTGTATACATATAACCATAACCTATAGACACAGACATTGGGGTGGTGAGGGCCTGGGGGGTGGAGTAGGGGATAGGAGCGGGCTGGAAGAGGTTAATGGGAAAAGAAGGACCTATGTAATACTTTCAACAATATTTTTTAAAAATGGTTCATTAATATGGTAAGTTTTATGTTATGTATATTTACCACAATTTAAACTTTTAAAAATATTATCAAGTGAAAGACCAAAATTTTTAAGTGCTTGTAGAGAACTCATGGGCTCTGAATGAATATTTTTGTAGACCCACACACCCTGCAGTCCACACTGCTTCCATCTGTTCTCCACCTATACTCCTAGCCTGGGATCCTAAGAGTAACCTTGCTCTGACTCAGTTACCTCTCAGCTCTCCTCAACACCAACCTGCAGCTCCAGCTAACTGGTATCCACCAAACTCAACACATACGCTCACCTCTTTGCCTTGGCTTGTGCCTTTCCCTGTCTGAAATGCACACTTTCCTCTGCTTGTATCACCCAATCCTTCCGTTTGCTTAAATCCCTTCTCCTCCTCACAATGATAGTCCCAGGTCACAGTAAGTGCCAGTACTCCCCATTTAGCATCAGTTACACATTCTAAATTATGTTATCACTTACTCTTTCAATCACTCCACAAACATTTATTGAGCATAGGCCATATTCATGACAATGTGCTAGGCCCCTGAATCAAATGCTGTGTTTTCTGCTTATTATCTCTCCCACGGTCCCTGACACATTTCATAGGTGTTTACTGCAGTGGTTTGGGTGATGTTGTACTGGTCTGTACTGTCATAGTCCTCATATAGACAGCAAACTTTAAACTACTGAAATCAGGAATAGTGTGATCTCAGGACTTCCCTAACATAACAGGATGTTGTTAGTAATGGTAATTTTTTTTTAAATCGATATTGAAAAGCAGTTGTCAGTACAAGAACGGTTTCAGAATTGAGTGCAATAGGGATTGTATGGGTAAGGGACTCTAGACCTAGTTATTGGAGGTTTCCTTGATGATGGTAGGAATGGTTTTGGTCATGAATGTCTGTGGTCATCAAGGACATGTGCTGTTTCCAATGTTCCTTTGAATACTATTCACCTAAGATAACTGCACAAAGTAACTTTATTCATAGGTTAGGCAGTGTTTGAGTAGACTGAGTTGCAAGGACACTTAATATAATCAATTTCTTGAACTCGGATTTGTGTTTAAAAAAACACACATTATATTCAAGTTCTAGGTATTTTACTTACAATTTTGCATGTAGCCCACTTCTTTCTGCACAAAGATAAAATGTTATTTGTATTTGCTTAATTCTCCATTATTTTGCCGTTTCAACATGATTTCATACCCCCAGTCATTGCACTGCTAGTCTCAGGGTACGTGGCTTTCACTCTCAGCCTTTTCTGACCTTCATTTTCTCTCTTTATGTTCTTGAATATGGCTTTGCGGTGCAGGGTGTTTCTCCCCAAGATCCACAACAATCACTTCCCTAGAAAACGTCACTCCTTTTAAAGGTCTTTTGCTGTTGTCAGTAACTGAAGGGGTTCCAGTGACAGACACGTGTGCTCCTTGCAAATCAGTGTCCTGCAAGAGAATGGGACGAACTGTGTAAGTGATCATTTTATGAACACAACAAGCCCTGCTTTTGAAAATACAGGTTATATGTACATTGTTAGTAAGGAACAGAAAAGTATCACGAAGTGATATAGGAAAGCTGTGATAACCCATCATGTTCATATTTCTAGGGTTTTAAAAGCAAACACTGACACATCCAAATAGCATTTGGTAATGTGTGTTGTTCCCTCTATGCCGCAGTCAAACCCGGGAGCTGCCTGGATCATCATTCTGTCTCTGCCTGGGCCTGGGTCTTCTGTTGGGAGAGCGTGTGAGTTGTTCTTACTAGGGAGCTCCAAGCACGGAGCTAAGGAGCCCTGGCAATGTCTGTGTGCTGGCGTCGAAGGAGCCCGAACTCAGAAGGGACACAGGTCTGGTCCCGAACTAAGCCACAGTGGAGGAATGACCTTGAACAACTCGTGTCACTTTCTCATTTGTTGGATCCCTAGATGATCTCCAAGACCTCCTCCAGCTCTTAGCTTCAAGGATTCTGAGAAAAGCAGCAAAATGAGGGGAATTATTAAGAAAAACACAAATGTAGCCATGAAGAAGGAGCATATATCAGGCTTGGCATATGTAAATCGTTAATAACGTGAACCAATGAAGCTAAGAAGAATGGTTTAAATGACCATGGACATGGCACTCCTTCCAGGTACAAACCTAAATCACAGGCAAGAGCAACCCTTATTGTGCCTAGCCACGTAAGTTACTCCCTTACTCTCAGACAGATTCTAAACTGCCCTTGCGAGGTGCAAAGCCCATCACCTTTGGACTGTTCTCTTTAGAACCCTCAGGATCTGGCTCCTCTTGTATTTCGCCCTCCACTCCGCCCTCTATGTCCTCATTGTTTTTCAAGTATGCGGCCACCATTTCTTTACTTGGTCTGTGGACAAGGATGCCAGGCCTAATGATTTGCTGTAGATTACTAAAAAAAAAAAAAAAATCAATCAGCAGGGATTTTAAAATTCATGCACATTAGCCACCAGTATCACACGCACAAATGGCTTTCTATGACATTCTATGGACATTCTATGACACAGACTTACTTTTCTTGGTCTCTTGGATTGCTTGCCTGCACATTATCAGTTAAACAATCTTCACAAGGACCGTTTTCTGTCTCTTCAGTTTTCCTTCTTTGGAAACTGAAAATGAACAAGCAAACAGTTCAGAAAAAGGAAAAATGGTCTTGGTTTTAAGACTGGCATGGAACTTCATGTTTACAGAAGCAATTCGCATTTCTCAAACCCTGAATGGGAAAAGTAGCTACAGCATTGTTATTTCATCTATTTAAAATTATTTGATCTTATTTCAAGATACATTTGCTAGTGTGACTTGAAATCTGATCCCAATTTATCAGCATGGATTTATACCATTTATATATAAACAGCATCAATAAAAAGAGGATGGAAGTAAAGCAAATGAAGAGGAGGATGACGAAGATGATTGCTGTGGTGTCAGAGCTCATAGGCTCAGCTAGAAGACTTATCCACTCTCGCAATCACGGTTTGTCCAAATATTCCTTTTCAGTTCAGTTTGAATGTCGATCTCTTGTTCTTTAAGTTTTCTAGAAACAGAAGAATTAAAGGCTGTTTTCATTGTTCTTCTGGCCAGCTTTGTAAAAGATGCTCTGCTGTGTGCTCCCTCAGCTCACCGCCCCTCATCCCCCAAACTATCCGAATCTAAGGAGAGAGGCACTGGAGCATCTGCAGCTGAGCCCAGCTACCCTCTCTTCTCTCTTCAGTGACATCACAGACTCATGGAACCATTGGGTTAGAGGGACTGGAGCCCAGCCCAACCCCACCCATCACCTGGAATCAGGAAAACCACAGAGCTCTCCTCTGGGCTGCTGTCTGTCTGTCCTCTCCTCTGAGACGGTGGTGGTGGAGGTCACCTGACACCATCTTGGCCACTCTTTGGACAAGGATTTTCTTCCTCTTCTCAAAATGCCATCCTTCCTTTCTTTCACCGGAGCCTGCTAAACTCACTGCTTTTTTCACAGACCATAAACAATCAGTCCGCTTCCTCCTTATAAATTCCCGCTTTGTAGCCCTGAGGCCGGTAATCAACTCACCTCCTAATAGCATTCTCTCCAGACCGCATAGCCCATATCCTCCTCATCCCACAGCAATGGGCCTACTTCCTGAGCACTGGCAGCTCTAGAGGCCCTGGCTGAGCTGACCAGAGCAACGATGACCCCTGACCCACCCTAACTTCAGGTGAGTGAGTGGTGCCCAGGACAAGGGAGGGCAGAGCTAGGATTTTCTGAGAAAAGGAAGGTACAAAGGAGTGTGGTAGCTGCTGCCAATCACATCTATAGAAGTCAAAGGTGAGCTGAGGGGTCGCTGCCTCCCAGAAAGGCAAGGACTATGGCTTCTTTACCTTTGTATACTCCACCAAGTCAGGACCTGAAACTCCATAAATATTTAGTAAGTGTGTGTGTGTGTGTGTGTGAGCACAAGTGTAGTTTACTGAAGGGCTCAGGCAAGGCTGATTCTGCAGAATGTGAACCTCTGAGCCACTCCGCAGTCAGCAGGTTCCTGGATGAAGCATTCTCCAGCCAAGGCTCCCAGATGAAGGCTCAGATACACTGCTGTCCAACTGAGGCTTTAAGAGGTCAAGTCTTCTCATGCCTCATGGACACACAGGTTTTTCTGGGAGATTTTATATCTAGTTACTGGTGGTTACACTGAGTTAGACATATGTAAAAACCCATTAAATCTGTGTACTTAAGATTAGTATACTTCATGCCCTCTACTGTGTGGAGGTTATACTTAAATAAAAAAGAGAAAAAGGGCCCATCCCCTTACTTAAATTTGAGTGTGTGTGGTGCAGAGCAGTGCTGGGCTGACTAGAAGGCACTGCTGCTGTATGGTCTGTCTCCAAGACTGTTCACCACACATACTCTAAGACCAGAGACTTTAGCAAGGACACAGCAATAGCAACAAGTAAGGGCTGGATAAGACTGTATCTAAGGGCTTTCTTTCACTGAATGTGGCTTGAGAATTATACCTTAAATTTATATGTATAGTTAATATACTATAATACGTTATTTGAATTTGGTCTCTAAATTGTATTTTAAATACTGGACTGTAACTCTGTGATGCCATAAGGTTTTACTTATAGATGGGTCTCCAGGACCTAACACTATATGCCATGCACAAAGAAAGTTTGTACTAAAAAATTATTTGTGATGGGACATTACTACCAATATTAAAGAAATAAAAAATATTCTGACAATACCATGAACAATTGTATGCTAACAAATTGGTTAACCTCGCTGAATTAAAATATTCCTAGAAACAATGAAGACTGAATAATGAAGAAATAGAAAATCTGAGTGAGAACTGTAATAAAAAGACTTAATCAATAGTCAAAAAGTCCCAACAAAGAAAAGTCCTGGACCAGATGGGATCACTGGGGAATTCTATCAGATGTTTAAAAAACTAACACCAATTTTTCTCAAAGATTTCCAAAAAATTGCATAAAATGGAACATTCTCTAACTCATTCTATAAGGACAGTATTACCCTGACAACAAAGCCAAGGACAATACATGAAAAGAAAACTAAAGCCCAATATTCCTTATGAATACTGAGGCAAAAGTCCTCAACAAAGTACTAGCAAACTGAACTTAGCAGCATATTAAAAGGATTATATGACCATAACCAAGTAGGATTTATTCCTGGAATGCAAGGATGGTTCAACATGCAATACACCACATTAACAGAATAAGGGGAAAAAATATATTATCATGTCAATTGATTTAGAAAAGGCATTTGACAAAATTTAACATTCCTTCATGATAAAAAAGAAAAACATTCAACAAACTAGGAATAGAAGGAAACTACCCCAACATAATAAAGGTTACATATAGAAACCTCACAGCTAACATCATACTCAATGTTGAGAAAATATTTGCAAATCACATATATGGTCACAGATTAATATCCAGAATATATAAAAAACCCCTATAAGTTTGTGTTTATGTGTTTTATGAACATATAAAGAACTCAACAACAACAACAAAACAACCAACCCCATTCGAAAACAGGCAAAGGACTTGAATAGACATTTCTCCAAAGAAGATATACAAATGGCTAAAAACCATATAAAAAGATGCTCAACATCACTAATAACTAAGGAGCAAATCAAAACCACAGTAAGATACCACCTTACACCCATTAATAAAGCTAGCATTAAAAAGAAAATTTTTAAACAAAGAAAGAAAATAGAAAATGACAAGTGTTGGTAAGAATGTGGAGAAATTGGGACCCTTGTGCATTGCTGGTGAGAATGTACAATGGTGCAATTACTGTGGGAAATAGTAGGGCAGTTCCACAGAAAATTAAACACAGAATTACATATCATCCAGCAATTCCAATTCTTGGTATATACTCAAAAGACATGAAAGCATGAGCCCGAGCAGATATTTGTACACCCATGTTCATAGCAACGTTATTCACAATAGCCAAAAGGTGGAAACAATCCAAGTGTCCATCAATAGGTGAATGGATAAACAAAATGTGGTGTGTATATATACAGAGGAATACTACTCAGTCTTTAAAAAGAACAAAATTCTGGCACATGTTGCACATAGATGAACCTTGAAGGCATTATGCCAGGTGAAGTAAGGCAGCCATAAAAGGCCCGATTTCACTTATATATCAGATACCTGGGACAGTCAAATTCATAGATGCAGAAAGTAGAATAGAGGTTACCAGGTGCAAAGACAAGAGGGGAACGGTGAGTTATTACTTAATGGGTACAGAGTTTCTGTTTAGGAAAGTTAAAAAGTTCTGGAGATGGATAGAGGTTCTAGCTGCATAACATTGTGAATATACTTAATGACACTACAGTGTACACTTAGAAATGGTTAAAACGGCCAATTTTGTGTTATATGTGTTTTATCACAAAAACGTATTTGTGGAACAAAGGAAAGTAGCTTGGTATATGGCAGGCACTGGAAAAATAAAACGAGCACAGAGAGACCTTGTTTCAATCTCCATTCATTTGCTCAGTTTCTTGCCCACTGTGAATGTCCTTGCCCCTCCCTCAGACCTCTACCTGTCCTCACCTCTAAGTCCTCCAGGTCTTGGTCTTGGATTGCTCCTCCATGATGCCATCGCCATCTGCTGGGCTCCTTGCTTCCTCTCCGTTGTCACTGCAGCTCGGTGACCCACTGTATCACCTACCTGCATCCCAAGCCCTTGCCCTGCCCAGCTCCAGCTGCAGGCACCCTGGGAAGTGGCAGCATCTTCCCCATTCTTTGTCATTTATCTCCTCCCACCTCACTTTCCCTTGGCTTCAGGCTCCCAGAACCCTGCACATTCTATTCCCTCCTGTGATCAAAGTCTGCTTTCTAATCCTTCACTCTAAGAATTCCTGATAGAAATGTAAAGTGTTCCCACTCTCAAGGACATTTATATTTTAACAAGGGCTTAAAGCAAAAGTAAGACAGGGTAGAATGTCAGGCATCAGCCAGCAGACAGGGCGTTCTCTTTGGAGCCAAGAGAGCTTTTCTGGTGGTCATGGCATCTGTCACATTGCGGTCAGACATGGGTTCCTCCAGGCTGAGCAGCCTGCTCTCCCTCCCCCTCCTGCCTCGAGGTTCCTTTGGGGTAGTGGCCAGAGGATGTGCACTCCTGGGGACAGGTTCTACAGCATCTTGTGCTCCAGCTGGGCCTTGATCCACATGAGCTGGTGAGATCCTTTGATGAAAGCATGATGCTTGAATTGCAGGATCAAGATGAGGACATTCAGAGGATTCACAAGTCACAGCTGCCTCAATGTGAAAACCAGGGTGTGACAGGACCCAGTCCTGCTTGATCAGTCACAGTTCAGGGGTCAACATGTGCTCCGAGTCATCTCAGTTAGTCTCAGTGTCAGGACATTTGCAGAAACTACCAGCACAGAAGTGTAAACCAGAAGCTGAATGTTCAGTTGTATGAGCCGGTGCCTCTCCTTTTTGCCTTGCTGGTCTGAGTGAGGTTTATGTCTCTTGCGATCTAAGATTCCTGATCAACACGTTATAATCAACGCCATACTGCCTCCCTTTCTGAGCCCTGATTCCTAACATGAGATTCCTGCATTCCTCACGTGAGAGCCACTGAGCCCATTCACTACCTTGTTGGACATTACATAGG